TTCATCATTTCTTTTAGGGTTCTATTATTCCTTTAAGCAATTCCATTTTGCTGTGGAGAATAAGGTGCTGTAGTTTGGTGCATAATGCCATGTTGTGCACGAAATTCATTTAATGGTGCATCATATTCACCACTCCTATCACTTCTAACCATTTTAATGGTTTTACCAAGTTGATTTTCAACTTTTGTTTTGTAGAGTTTAAACATTTCTAAGGCTTCATCTTTACTTCTAAGTAAATAAACATAACAATATCTTGTGCAATCATCGATAAATGTTATGAAATACTTTTTGCCTCCTCTAGTTTGAACAAATTTTAGATCACATACATCAGTATGAATTAATTCTAGAGGTTCGATTTTCTTTTCAACCGATTTAAATGGAGCCTTAGTTAGTTTCACTTCTACACAAACTTCACATTTATGATTATGATTAATTCAAACTTTGGTATATAATCCAAACCAATTAATCTACGCAAAGCATCATAATTTACATGTCCTAATCTACCATGCCATAAATTCGACTCAATAATATAAGCAAAAGATGTGTTATTCTTATTAATAGCAACTTTTGGTACAACGTTATTACATTTAGTTTGAAGAGACCATCACTCATGGATCCCTTACCAACATACATGCCACTCTTTGTTAATACAAATTTATCAAACTCAAAGACAAGCCTAAAACCATTTTTACTTAACAAAGAATCAGAAACTAAATTCTTCCGGATGTCAGGTACATGTAGTACGTTGTTGAGGGTCAGTTCTTTCCCTGATGTCATCCCTAATATCATCTTCAAGATCATTTTTCCTTGTCCAGCCACAGTAGAAGTAGAAGAATTTCCCATGAAAAGTTGTTCACCATTTGTAGCCTCATTGTAGGTAGTGAACATTTTCTAGTCCGTACATATATGACGAGTTGCTCCAGTGTCAACCCACAACTCTTTCGGATTTCCAACCAAGTTAGTCTCAGACACCACAGCAGAGGTTGATGTCATTCACCCCGTCAGAGATGTAATCTAGTTCAGTTACATTGGCCCGATTGGTAGTCTTCTTGCTTATACTTTCGCGATCCTTCTTAGGGCGGCGGAAGTCAGAAGCTCGATGTCCAGTCTTGCCACAATTATAGCATTTTTCTTTGAACTTCTTGTTGCCATTGCTGTCGCCTTGTTTAGGACCATCTCTAGTAAACTTTATCTTTTTGTTATGTGGTTTATGAACTTGTTCAACCACATTAGCCTTGGACTCAATGAGATTTTTTCCATTCCTCTTTTCAGCCTTACGGTTATCTTTCTCAATTCTCAGTCTTATAATAAGTTCATCCATGGTCATCTCTTTGCGTTTATGTTTTAAATAATTTTTGAAATCTTTCCAAGCTGATGGTAACTTTTCCACTAAAGCAGCGACTTGGAAAAACTTGCTCAGAGACATACCCTCAGAATGAATATAATGTAAAATTAATTGAAAACTTTAAATTTGAGAAATTACTGTTTGGGAGTCTACATTAACAAAGTCCCGAAATTTACCGACAACAAATTTTTTCGTGCCGGCATCCTCTGTCTTGTATTTCTTCTCAAAAGAATCTCACAATTCTTTTGCTGACTTCAGAGGACTGTAAACATTATACAGTATGTTGTCAAGGCCATTAAAGATGTAATTTCTACACAGGAAATCTGAATGTTTCCAAGCATCTACAACGGCAACAACTCGCCGACCACTTTCACCCTCTTTAAGTGCTGGAGCCTCTTCATGGAGAAACCGGGTCAAATTAAGAGTTGTAAGATAGAATAGCATCTTCTACTGCCATCTCTTAAACTTAGTACCGTTAAATTTTTTCCATTTTTCTCCATGATTTATTGGTACTTGAACATGGTTCTGGATAGGGACCGGTGTTGGTGTTACAATTGGAGTACCACTTCCAGTTGCAGTTTCAGTTGCAGTAGCCATAATCTCTGATTACAAAAATCAGAAAAAATTAAAATACAAAATAATTTTATTTTCCTTGTTACGAAAACTAGAAAAATAAAATATCACAATAATTTTCTGTAACACAAATTTAATATTCTGCAATTGTTAATGACACCAGTATATTATTACTAGTTGTCAAAGAAAATAGACAGTATATTACTACTATCTGTCAAATAGCATAAACCACTATTTGTTTTTCCAACCAGAATGTCTTTATGAAATCACAGAAAATTAAATACAATGAAGATACCAGGACGAATCTGTCTTAAGATTGTTGGACAATCTTCACTGTAATTAAATTAATTAATTCTGTTTGGGTACTAAATGACAAACAGAATATAAAAGATAAAAAGGAAAGGAGAGAGAAAGTTTGATTACAAAAATCAAACTATAAATAGAATTAAATAAATAAAAAAACAGATTTTATTTTGTTACAAAAACAAAATTAAAATCTGATTTAAATAAATAATAAAACAGAAAATAAATAAATAAATAACTTTCTTGATTAATATCTTGAATATTATTCTGATTAAGTCCAGTGTTCGACACTGTCTCCTTAAGACAGATTTGTTCTCTCTGCGGTGCTTTCAGAATATGGACGTCTATCTCCCAGAATGAAATGATCAACTACAAATAAATTCAGCACTACAATTTATTTGTTCAACGAACACACTAAGTGTTTACACTTTTTCTTACAAAAATTAAATGCAGCAAAATGAAGAATAAATTTGCAGAGGAGAAGTACGGAATTTCTATGTAAAAAACCAAATGAGGGACTGCCTATTTATATAGGTGAAGTGGTGGCTTGGTGGCTGCCAGTTGGAATGTAACAGGTAGCAAATCTGTTTTGAACAGATATTGTACCTGTTCAAATTGAATTTTGAAAAGAAAACCGAATCTGGTTTGAATCTGTTTGATAGATAAAAATGGTTTTGGGTTTGAATCTGGACAGATTCGGATCTGTCTAAAACCTGTACAAAATTCTGGAGAGGTGCAACAATTTGAATTCAAAAATTGAAATTAATATGGACAGAAATTCGGACAGATTTTATTTCAAAAAAAAAAAAATTCAAATGTTTTTGGCCCAAAAAGATTAGTATTGGGCCAAACAAGCCCAACCACACACCCGCGCCCAAGCCTAGTCCGCCCGACCGAACGGACAGCGGCGGCGAGCGCGTGTGGTGATTTTTGGGTCCAATAGGTCTAGCCCATGTTGCCCATAACCTTCCTCTCTACAAAACTTGGGTACCCCTTGAGGCACATCCCAAGTTTCAATCCCATGCCTTATAAACCCATTCAAAACTTTCCACAAAATCAATGTGGGACAAGTCATTTTCCAACCTTAAGGAATTTCTACCAAAACTCCATTTCCATAGAGCTCACTTTAACTTCAATTTTCCATTCACCCGATAATGGTTTTGAGCAACCAAATATACCACGTGAATCACAACGCGGCATAGAACGCGTTACCACTTTGACCCATGAAAATAGCTGCACGGGGGCCCACTTAAAAAATAGACCAAACTTAGGAAAAAATTCTAGTTTTACCTAGAATTTTCCCAACCATTTCTAACACTATTTTTACTGTTGCCGTTATTTTCAAGTCCATACAATCCTCACCGCTTGTAACAATCTTATAGATAAGAATTGTATCGTTATTGTTTGTGACCACCATCGAAATTCTAAACCTTGTTCATTGTTCGCAACCACCGCTCACACCTCTATTATCTCATTGTTGTCAACTTCACTTGCCGATTTTTTTTCTTCTCATTTTCTCTCCCTCACTTGTATTTGATTTTTGTATTGTTATTTAATAGGCATTGTTTGTTGTAATGATGTAAAAATATTTAGATTTTGTTCTTAAGTTCAAATGAAATTAGTCAGTTAAATTTCTCGAATTTTTTGAAGTTCAGTATATTTAATCAGTGAAATTTCTTAGACTTTCTGCAATTTCAATAGATTTGATTAGTGTTTTTTTTTCTTTTTTTTTTCCTGCAATTTCATTATATTTGGTTAGTGAAATTTCTCCGACTTTCTACAATTAAGTAGATTTGGTCAGAGAAATTGCACTAACTAAATTTACAAAAATTGTTGAAAGTTAGACAAATTTCACTATTACAGCAAAAAAATCATGTAACAATTACAATTTTCAATTTGACGAAGTGTCAGAGAATCGCCAAAAAATAATCGCAAGCAACAGATGGTTGTCGTTGGTCACCGACGACTGGCAGTAGTGATCAAAGACAGTCGCCGATGATTGTAGAGATGTTGAAAGTTTGGTAGGGTAATGAAAGTATACTAAGGATAGTTTTGTTCGAAAAAAACTTAATGTCCTTAACTAACAAACATATTTTAGTTGTTCTTAAAATACAAAATCTTTTTTAGGCAGTTGAATAAAAAAAAACCCTAGTAAAAATGTGATGTCTTATAATTTTATATTTCATTCAAATTTTGAGAGAAACATGATTATTAATAAATTTTTTGATAATAATTACACTTTCTCTTTTTACAAAATTTGAGAAATAAATTAAAATAATTTCTACATTTTTAATAAATTTTTAAAAATACGCAACAAGCTTACTTTACTTACAGTCTCTCTCATAATTCTCTCTGTCTAGGATAGGATGGGTACATGTACGCCTTATTTCGCTTTTTTTTTTTTTTGGGTACATATTTATATTTTTAGTAAATATTATGTAATTTTTTGACAAAATTAAAATAATTTATGATTTACTCAGAAATAAAATCACGCATCTTTATAGTAATACTATATATTTTTGTGATAATTTTATATATTATAAGGTGTAAAGATAATTTATTAAAAAAATATGTAATATTATCATAAAAATATATAATATTTTTGTAGCAACCCTAATATAAAAATAATAATAAAATCCGTCCCATTTATGATTTTGGGACATTACATGGTACACTACTATAGATCTGGATTTATCATTAAAATGCATAATTTTATTTTTAAAACACATATTTTACAAACACACCAAAAAAAAAAAAAAAATGTGTAGCATGGTGTGCGTATAGACCGCCGAAGGAATTTTCAACAAAAGACTTTCGGTCTTTGATTTTTCTTAGTCTCTTTGGTACTCTCTCTCTCTCTCTCTCTCTTCTAAGCCCCGTCAATTCAAGCATTCGAAGCCATGGAAGCTGATCCCTTTTAAACCAGGTAACCATTCTTCACCAACTCTCTCTCTCTCTCTCTCTAATATATATGGTGCAAAGATGTATGTCTCTGTGTGTAGACATATACCTAGTGCGAGTTGGGTTCTCTCTTTTCATTCTCATTTTGAAGCGAATCGTTCAAAAGATTGACAATCAACGCTATTCAACACATGATCATGATAACCCATTTGTTTCACAGGTTTATCTTTCATGTGGTTTTGGACCTTTGGAGTTCTTTCTTGAAGGTTAGTAGTGAACCTCATTCCTATTATGTAACTTGGTATATGAAATGACTCAATGTACATCATCCATTGCTTTGATTCATGTGTGAATGGTCATTTATTTTCAAGATTCGGCGAAAATTTGATATGCCTAGATGGGAATTAGTAATTCCAAGGATGGGTTGTTGATGAGTGTAGAGTTGATTTTGTTCAATTTGACTGTTTGTATTGAATATATTGATAGGAAAGTAGCTTTCTCAATTCACGTAATTTTGGGTTATTGATATTGATTTGAACTTGTTTTTTGGCAGTTGGCCATGATGGGAAGTCATGTGTTTGAACCTAAAGTGGTAGACCAATGGCTAAAAGTTCCATCTTGAGGCCTCCCCCCTAGGGCTTAGGCACGGTAATTATCTACTATATGTGGGACTACGACTACATGTACTGGGGATTAGTCGGGGCAAAACTCCAAATGCCCTCGCGAGGGAAAAACAAAGGCCCCAATTTTTTTTAGGAATAACTGCAGACTAGTATGAATGCAGGAAACGAAGGCCTCAATAGTTTTGACCAAATGCATGAAATTGGAGACTAATACTACTATATTAAGGAAGAAGAGAGTAAGACCTGGTGATTATCAAATGTAAAATTCTTCTAGTCCTGGTATAGTGGGTGTTTGGGAAGTGGGTTTTTTTGTAGCTTTTTTTAGTTGTAGGATATTATTGGAGAAATTTTTTTTTTGTGTTTGGAAAGATAGTTGAATTTTTTGTGGTTGAATGTGATGCTTGTAAGAGAAAAAGTGAAATGATTATAGGGTTTGATGTGATATTTTGTTTGGATGTGTTTTTTTTTGGTTTTGTGACCAATTTGTCTTTTAGTGTAAAAAAACAAAAAAAACCTAAAAAATTTGTTCCCAAACACCGCCATAGTGACCTGGTGGTGAGAAAGTGAACTAAATGTTTTTAAAGACGTATTGAAATATCATGAAACAGTATGGGTAACAAAGAAAACCTTGAAACTTTTTTTAAAAGAATTTTTTTTTTTGGGTCGGGGGAGGGGATCTCGTGCTCCTCGTCATAAAATGCATCCGGTCCTATCTATCAGAAATGAAATCAGTATTTGTGCTTCCTCTTTTTTATTTGAGTCATGTAAACATGTGATTCAGTTCTTGTTTCTTTATATTTAATTCAATGGGTATTCTTGTTAGTCATGGGCAGATATGTGATTGAGAACATCTTGAGGTTGAAAACATTTATTTGTATATTCCTTCATGACCGGATTTTGAATTTATTGTTCTCATGGTTTCTAGTTTGTCTTGTCTGGCAGATGGACTCTGGTGAGCTGGATCGCAATGGCAAATGTGTTGAAGAATTGTTTTCAGAGAAGTTAGTTCCTCTGAATTCTCCTGATACAAGTGATATGTTTGGTGATCAACAAGTGCACCCCCGAGTTGGTGATAAGTACCAGGTGAAAATTCCACGCATGATAACAGAATCTGAGCGGCTTCATCTTCTAAGGAACCCAGATGATACTGAGATTAATTTTAATGTTTCTCATTATTTTGTTTTGGGATTAGCAGTTCCGGCAATTTGGGTTGATGATAAAATAAATAACAATCAAAATAAAGGAATTAAAGTTTATAAAAAACGTGATGATTCAGTTAATGCAAAGGGGTCAGTGGGATCTAAAAAGGTGAAAAAGAGGCAACATATTTCAAATAAGGAGGGTTTGAAAGCCAAAACATTAGATGTTGCATTGGATTGTGGAAAAGAATCAAAGTCTATCTCCGAACCTGCAATGGCAGGAAAAGGTAACCCAAATCAAATGTGCAGAAGCAAAAGCTGTTGTTTGGTTCCTGGTTTGCTTGGTGATTCTCCTTGGACAGACATTGAATTCAGTAGTTTTCTCCTTGCATTATATATTTTTGAGAAGAATCTCGTTCAGGTGAAGAGATTTATGAAAAGCAAAGAAATGGGGGAAATCCTATCCTTCTACTATGGGAAGTTTTATGGGTCTGATGAACATCGGAGATATGCAGATTGCCGGAAGATGATGAAAAGCCGGAAGTGCAAGATTGGACAGAGAATTTTTACTGGATGGAGGCAGCAGGAACTGTTATCTCGTTTGCTTCTCCATGTCTCAGAGGATGCAAAAAGTACTTTGGTGGAGGTATTTTATGTTTTAATGCCACAAATATGACATGTTAGTAATTCCAAATCTGGTTTATTTGATCAATGGTGACATACATGTTCGTTCACTTTATGTTTTTTTTTTTTGGACAAGTGTGTTCATGTTTAATACTGGAATAAATTTAGTTATGTTCTTTTTGTGATGAATTTCACACAAGAATATCATGTTGTTCCAAATACATGCCAAAATAGCCATTTTTTCCCCCTCTCATTTCGTTATCTATGCATGTTATACTATTTGTTACATAGCTTCTCTATCCTAAACTCGATTTGTTGTGCTCAGTGTCTCATCCCATTTTTTTAGGAAAAAAGGTAGGACAAGCAGGTTTGGCCCAATACTCTTGGGGACAAGCGAAATCTTAAATGGGGTTTTTTTAGATTTATTATTTTTTCACAATATAAAATTTATTATTTAAAACTGAAGTTTTATAGAAAAAAAAAGAAAGATAAAAAAGCAATTGAAGTGGTGAATTATTTAAAAGTAATGGACGATTGTTTACTAAGTTTTCCTAAAAATAAACAAAAAATAAACAAAAACCAGTTTATAAAATTTTTGTAAATATAAACTGAAAACGTAAACGTTACCAAACACCTAAATGTATGGATTGTTTATGTTTATAGAATATTGTTGACTATACTAGTAACAATTGCCTCTGGAGATGTAAATTTTTTTAAGCTAAAGTTCATCAAATTTTATATTCAGTTACTTACTTTAGAAAAAGTTTGAACAAATTAATAATGTTACCCATCGAAAATGTTCAAAATCTATCTCAATAATTATGATTTATGTTTGTCTCAATAACTATGATTTATGTTTGTCTCAATAACTATGATTTATGTCAACTACAATAATCATGTGAAATTGCTAAAAAAAAGTACAATATTATAATTATTGTGAAAAAAATTATAATCCATTCACTCACTAATACAATATTTTCTTGGTAAAAAAGGAAAAACTAATACAATATTTTCAAATTGGATTTACTACCTAATATTCTAAGTGATTTATGTGTATAACATGGGTAAAAAACCAGTAACTTTAGTATTTATATATGAAAGAAAATTTTGTGTAGGTAAACCAAACTAAACCAAATCAAGTCTTAAGTCTCATCAAATAGGGTCGGCTACATGAATCCTTCTTCTCCACTTGACTCTATCAACGGCCATTTGGTTAGTCAAATTCAGGAGATTCATATCTCTATTTACTACACCCGCCCACATTAATCTAGGTCTATCCCTTCTTCTAACACTTCCATCTACTATTACTGTTGGTCTTCGTTGTATATAACCAAACCATCGCAATTTATCCTCTCTCAACTTATCTTCTATCGATGCTACTTCTACCCATTCACAAATATATTCATTCCTAATCTTGTCTTTTCTAGTCTTACCACACATCCACCTTAGTATCCTCATTTCAGCAAAACTCATCTTATTTATATATTGTTTCTTAGTTGTCCAACATTCCATCTCATACAATATCGTTGGTCTAATAGCCATCCTATAGAAGTTTTTTTTTTTGTCTAATGGGTACTCGTTTATTACACAGTACCCCAGACGCACTCCTCCACTTAAACCACCTTGCCTTAATTTTATGGACCGCATCCACTCCAATTTCCCCAACTGTTGTGATAATCGATCCTAAATAATGAAAATATTCACTCTTAGGTAGTTCCCAGTTCTCAATTTTCAATTCTCCTCTGCTTCAATTTTTATTTTTTCTTGTACCTACACAAACAAGAGAAAAAAAAAAATTGAAGATACTATTTTACCAAATTTTTATTTTTTTATTATATATATTTTAAATATGTATGAAGGTCCCATATTTAAGTTTGCCTTAGGGCCCAAAAATTTCAGGGCCGACCCTGGTCAGGAAGTGTCATGTCCTTTACTTTGGGGTCTCTATTTTGCCAGTCTTATGGCCATTTCTTCCACTTCGGGTGTTTACTGTAATAATGATGCATCATATTTGATTTTTTACTGTGATACTTGTACATTGCTATTGATTCTAATTTTACTTGATATTCTTCATTATAATTGATTCAAATAGTGATCGACCATTGTACATAAAAATATTAAATGTATGTGTCATAACGCAATAAAACAAAAAATAATCAGAATTGCGGTTCCATTTTAATGGCAAAGTGCAAGCTCGTCGTTTCTCTTTCTCTTTCATTTTCATTTTATTTTTTATTTCTTGGTTGGAAAGACTAAGATTCAAGAAAAAGAGAGACAAAACTGGTGTATTTTTGTTGTAGATGAGTGGATTGGAGATGGGGGTGTCTGAAGTTAGGAGGTGGGTTTAGGGATTTGAGTGGAGAGAAGAGGGTGACCAACAAAGAAGGAAGGGAGAGTGTTGTTTTTTTCATTATTTTTTTTCTTTCTGAAGTTTATATTATTCATTTATTTATTAATAGAGACAAAATAGGTATTTTAAGAAAAATATTGATTACATAGTCAAAATTTGGTTGACCAAGTGACGACAATTTGGTATTACAAGATTTGATTGTAAGTTGATCTTAAAATTTCAAATTTCTAAAGGCTTGTAATTTCTAAAACATTGATGGTTGGTAAGAGTGGACATTGGTTGGGAGCGGACTAGCTATTGAAATTTGTCTTGGGCTAAACAAGTGTCATATGAAATTAAAAGTAAGAACCTCAGATTGAAATTTTGGTATCAGTTGTTACTTCCACCCGTCTTTGTATAGTTATTGGCTTTGGTTCTAAAGATGTTGAAGTGCTCTCGAATTACAATATACTGTCCGATGAAGAACTGTTATGCTCAATATTTTAATTTAGATTTTGGTCATTGTCAGGTCTCAAAGGCATTTGCTGAGGGAAGAACTTCTCTTGAAGAATATGTTCACACCTTAAAAACTCTTGCTGGTATCCCTGTCCTCATAGAAGCAGTAGGTATTGGCAGGGGGAAGGAAGATTTGACAAGCCTTGCAATGGAGCCTACTAAAACTAATCTAGTGTTTCCTTTCCGGCCCAAAATACCAGTTGGCAAAGCATGCTCTTCCCTTGCATTTGAGGACATAGTCAAGTTTCTAACTGGAGATTTCCGGTTAAGCAAAGCTCAATTAAATGATATTTTCTGGGAAGCAGTCTGGCCCCGTCTGTTAGAAAGAGGGTGGCACTCTGAGCAGCCGAAGAATCATGATTATTATAGTTCCAAACATCAGCTGGTTTTTCTTATGCCTGGTGTTAAGAAGTTCTCAAGAAGGAAACTTGTGAAAGGAGACCACTACTTCGATTCTGTTCGTGATGTTTTAAGCCGAGTTGCATCAGAACCGAAACTTATCAAGCTTGAGGACGAAGAACCTAGAGTCAGCAGCTGCGAGGAAGTACATGAAAGAGAGCCAGAACCCACAATAAACCATGATGATCCAGCTGATCATCAGCAGCTTTATTACCTTAAACCCCGAGTTTCAACATACAATCCAAATCTTTTGAGGTTAACTGTTGTGGATACTAGTTTGGCTTGTGGAGAAAAATCATCGAAGGTAAGAGAGCTGAGAAATCTACCCTCTGATACTGGAATTACTTCTATCTTGAGTAATCATTCAAAGGAATCTGATGGTGATTCCTCCGGGGATTCAGTCGATGTGCCAGACTCTGTTGTTATGTTATTGAAGGGTCAGAAGAAACCTAGATCTTCCAATCATAGTAAGGGTATGGTTGACAATAGCAATTCAAACCAAAGGATGTCAATCGATGACTCAAAAGCTGCGAAGAAATTGGTGGGGAATCACCACTATCAGGACCCAGATTTATCTAATGCCAAGCAGTTGAGGACCATCAAGAACTGCTTCAGTAGGAGAGTGAGACCTGGCCGTTCAAATTTGTTGCCCCCTCTCACGAAACAGCGGACATTGGCTGCTTGTGCAAAGGATGACACAAGTTGTAGCATGGAGAAGTTCATGGTGGGTTCTGGATTCACACAAGTGGAACCCAGTTTCAGGTCTAACTCACTAGATGTTTCCAAAGTTGGTCCTTTTGACGAGAAGAAGGTATTATCAACAAGTTCTTCGTTAGAAGGCAGTCCAAAAAGGGACAGCAACAAAGGCATTCTTCATGAGAATATGTATGGTACGGGAATATCTCTTGCGGAATGTGAGAAACCTCAATCACAGCCGTTGATCGACCTAAACGTACTCCAGGGCCTATCAGATTCTGAAAATGGTGAAATATGCGACACGAAAGTCGATGAAAGCCAGAAAAACCCTAATGCTAATGTTTTATGCTTTTCCTCTGACAAATACGAGCTTGTGAAAGAACCTAACAACTTGTGTACTTCCAGTAATGTCAATGCTGCAGAAAAACACCTAATTGGGAGTCCTAGGAGGCAAAGCACAAGAAACCGGCCATTAACAACACGAGCATTGGAAGCTCTTGCATTTGGCTACCTAAGCACAAAGCGGAAGCGAAAAGGCACGGAAAATCAGAGGCAAGATAACCCAGTATCAAAGCATTTCCTGCAAAGCTCACATCAGAGCCGATGTAACTTCAAATTCTGGCAGCATTAGCAGTGGTATCTTGGATGATAAGGATCAAAATGGTGTGGACGGAGTTTGTAAGGGTAGCAAAAGTACGGTTAGCAATTCTCTTTCTGAAACTGAAAGAAAAGTAGCTCTAGAGCTAGTGGAGATCTCTAAAGCTACCTATCATCCAGGAGTTTTGAATTTCAATGATGATTGATCTAGTTAAGGTGCTTAGGTTACCAAAGACAGCACATTTTATACTGTCTTCTTTTCATCTTTCTACAATCCCTGTACCATTCAGTTAACCGTTACAATGCATCACATCACGGTACTGACATCCATTTGAGAAGAAATATAGGTACCTTTTACTCTCTGTCGTGATTTGGCATGTTACAGCCACAGCGGTTAGGCAATGGGCACTTGCTGACCATTGCTATGTAATGTTTGTAGAGGAAACAAGCTTGTTTTACAAATTACACTACAATCTTCATATTTCAAATTCTGTACTCTGAAGTAAATTCTGTTGGCAAAAGTTGAATATTACCGGATTGTAAACATGTCAATGTCCTTGGGTGTATTGTTACAAGCTATTCACAATCGATGAACGTACTGGTGGGGATTGGAAGGCATTGGATAAAGGAAAACTTAAAGATTTTATAATTTTATTTATGAGGTTTAATTCAATTTAGAGTTATGTTAGGTTAGTGTTCTATATTTGTAACCTTAAATGGGGTTTCCTATGTTGCCTATATATATGGTTCTATGTAATAGTTTTATATTAGCTTTAGATTAATGAGATATTGAGTAGATTGTGGCCGTTTGTGTTGGGGTTGTGTTTTGACCCTTGTTCTTCATTTTCTATTCTTATTCTTCTTGATATTTTGATCCTCTCTTTTGGATTGGTTCTTCATATATTCTGGTTTGGGGATCGTTTGAGTAGTTCAGTGGATTTCTTAATAGCTGTTCGACATTACATACGCTCTAATTTTTTGAAAGGGCAGGAATGGTGTTTATATACATTGTGGAAATGCAAGACGTGATGCTTGAAAGACCTGATGTTTTTTTTTCTTGTTTAACATCACCTTGTTCTTGTGGTTTTTATGTTTGCTTGGCGGTTACAGGGGTTTGTAAAGCTGCCTTAGCACCAATCTCCTATCTCAACTGAGCTACTCAAGGCTGTATGAAGTATTCATGTTTTGACAAACTTTGTGCAACATGAAGCAACAGTATTTAGGTGAGTCCTCGTTATTTTAGTCATGTTGCAATGATTTTAGGTTGTAGTATTTTAATAATGATTTCATCTGTTAGTATTGAATTGAAATTTCTGTCAATGTTTTTATTTGTCTCTTCTGCTTTGTTTGAGCATATTCTACATGCTTCTGTTCTGTTCTTAAGCTTACTTGCAAAAATAAAAATCATGAAATAAAAAGGGCCAAGCTGGTCTTAGGCCTATATTCTGCGTACTTTAGGATAAAAAGTTACAATTTTAAGGATTTTATTTAAAGATGATACCAGGTGTTGTTAGGCCAATATACCATATTCTGCTATGAAGGATTAATTCTTACAAATCTACGATGTTTTTCTTTTGTCATTGTATCTAAGTTATTTTATTCAAACTTGTAACTAGTTTCCCCCCGAAGTGTCCGAATGTTTTTGATCTAAAAAATGTAAATTAAAAAAACAAAAAACAAAAAACAAAGTGAAGTTATGGCTTGGGACGCATTTTCCCCTTGCACTTACTTGCACCTTTATGAATTTGTAATTAAAATACTATTTGGCTATAAATTTGGGACCTGATTAGTGGTGGTGACGTGCTAGGTTGTTGTACACGTCTGTGTTACATGGACTTGGCACTTTGGGCTGAAGTACCCTGTTTCGACACGACACGACACGACACGACAAGGGTGCGGGTGTGGGATCTATGTCGGATTCGCCTGTTCTCTCTCGGACATGGCTTTTTATAGACAGCAAAAGAAATGAAAGAGGAGAGAGCAAGAGAGAACCTGGTCGCCTGTCGAAACGGCGAAGACATCGGTTGCCGACTTTGATTCCTTTGGTCGCTGCTTCGACATGCTCGATCTCCATCTCCTGCCTTGTCTTCTCTCTCATCTCTCGATCCCCTTCTCTGTCTTCTCTCTCATCTCTCGTCTCTTGATTTGTTGATCTCTCTTACTCGCCTCTCGTCTCTCGTCTCTCGCTCTCGATCTCGATCTCGATCTCACTCTACTCTCTCTCTCTCTCTCTTCTTCTGTTTGTCTGACTTCTCTTTTCTTCTTTCTTCTCTTGTCTCTGTTTTATTTTCTTCTTTCTTCTCTTCTCTCGATCTCCCTCTTTTTCTTCTCTCTGTTCTATTTTCTTCTCTTCTTCTTTATATTATATTAGTATATAATATAAATTACGTTAATATAATAATATATAATATTATTCATATCATATAATATTATTCATCCATTATTCATATTACATTTACATTAAAATATAGTATAAATTACATTAATATAATAATATATAATATTATTCATCCAAAAAAAATTATATAATATAATATATCATAAATAATATAATTTTTATGTTTAAAATAAAAATAACTTATTTTATCATATATAACATAATTTATTTTATATATAAAATAATTTTTATTTTTTATTTATATAATATAACTTATCTTCATATAATAAATATATATATTTTTAAAAAAATTATTTAACGTATCTCCGTATCCGTATCCATATCCATATCCATATCCAAATTTGGATATATATCCACGTATCCTTAATTTTTAATTTTTAGTTGTCCGACCCTTAGATACGCACCGGCACCCGCACCTGCACCCGATACCCATATCCGAGTCCGTGTAACATAGGTAGATGTAGAATGCAAGTTGTTCTTGTTTCTTGATGTGTGTTGATCGAATGGCTCAAATTAATCATCTTGAAATCAATACTATTGAAAACTTGATAGGGATTTATTTATTTATTCTTTATTCTTTATTTCCCATATTAGGGGTTCTCAAGAAAGGGAAATGCTAACCATTGATCATTGGGTGACTATGAAGCACGGACACGGACACGGACACGGACACATGACACGGCAATTTCCAAAAAATGGGAACACTTTATGTGTTATGTAGATTCATATTACATTCATTTTAAATCAAAATTAACAAACATTAACATAGCAATATTAATTCAATAAATATAACTACTACATTTAAACAAATTAATAGATCATCCATTCACAAAAAGTCATAATAAACGATAACAAGAACTAAGACGAGAAGGAAAAACATTCAACATCCAACAATATGCTTTGCAAAAGTACTAAATAAGAGAGGCAAAAGAAGGGAAGGGAAAAAAAAAAGAAAATTTAGCCTCGTTGTGTCCCATGCTGTCTTGATATGGACACGCGTGTCCCCGCCGTGTCCGTTACAAAAAAATCATTAAATTAAAGGGATACGCCATCTGGCGTGTCCTGTACGTGTCCTCGACGTGTCCACATGTTGAACACCACTACGGCACCGATTTTGGAGTGTCCATGCTTCATAGTTGGGCGACTATGAAGTACAAACACTTCAAATAGATGCTGTAGCAGTGTTGAACATGAGGACATGCTGGGAACACGTATGGGACACACCATATGGCGTGTCCCTTTAATTTTATTATTTTTTTTTGCAGGAGACACGGTAGGGACACACCGAGGGCACGCGTGTCCAGATTTGGACATGGTGGGGGTATTTTTTTAATTTTTGTAAATTTTTTTTGGGGTTAAAGTGCAAAATTAAGAAAGTAAAAAAAGAATATTGTTGGATGTTGAATGCTTTTCCCTTGTCATCTTAATTCTTATTATTTATTATTTTTTTTTGTGAATTGATGGTTTATTAATTTGTTTAAATGTAGTGATTTATATATATTGAATTAATGTTTGTTTTTATTAATTTTGATTGTTTAGTAACATAATATTAATCTACATAGCAAATATATATAAATGAAAAAATTGCCGTGTCTCCCGCCGTGTCCATGTCCCCCGCCTTGTCCGTGTCCGTATCCGTATTCGTATCCCCATTTTTTTGAAATCGCCGTGTCCGTCTCCGTGTCTGTGCTTCATAGTTGGGCGGTAATCAACGCTGGTATATGTCTGAAAAGTGTATTAAAATATGTAAGATAGACATAAAAATTTATTGGAATATATAAAATGTGTATTGGAGTTTTAATTTTTGACATCATTTAATCTTTAACCAACGTCCAGCGCCAAAAAATGCTTAGTGCATGTGTGGTTATGGTCACACTGGTTCAAATTAATTTGAATCATAGATCAAAGAGATATCAGATGCTAATCCTCCTTGGTTCCCTTAGACTACTATGAATTTAGTGAAGACTCATTAAAGTATACCCTAGATATTAGACCAAACCTTCCTGGATCCTTTAGTTACTAGAATAACCCAATTTAACACTGGACTTTACTAGTAATTTGCTTAGGGAAGGTGTATATGTACTTGACTTTAGCTGTTATATAGAACTTCAACACAAGCTGTGAGAGTGAGAGAGAGATTCACGTACCTTTTCCTTTTTCCTTTCTCTTTTCAAATCTCTTCCTAAATCCATTCTCCAAATACAATCTTAGAGAAGGTTTATACGTTGTTGAATTTAGCAGTTAGAACTTCAACAGCAGCTGAGAGAGAGAGAGAGAGAGATCATTTTCTCTAATAATAGTGATCAAATGGCACCATCAATGGAAATGATTGATGAACTTGTTCCTTTATAGTGGTGGTCACAGTGACAGACAGTTCTGTAAATTGATGAGTATTTTTTTTTTCTTTTTTAATTTTTTGAAAATCATGCTTGGCTAGTTGTAATTATCTAGGCAATAAAGCCTGAAATAAAAAATGAAAAAAAGAGATTTGTAAAGAAATATTACATAGAAAATTCCACGAAAATAATTTGACATTGATATTTTTGAAATAATAAGTTACTTTGATGAGTCTTTTGATTTAAATAAACAGATGTGAACGTTCCACATCATTTTTTATAAATCTTTTGTATATATGTTTTCTGTTTGTATATCATTATTACTCATTATAAGATAAAGCATTTAATAATATTACACTTTTTATTTTATATTTTTACCACTTTTAGGGTTGCTTTGGCAATTGTTTTAGTAGTATTTTTTTTATTATAAGATTTTATTGGGAAAGTTGAGTAGGTCCTTTTAAAAAAGTTTTTTTTTTTTTTTCTTTCCTAGATTAGATACAATGATTGGGGGGGGGGGGGTCAATTGTCACTTTTTTTTTAGCCGAAAATAAACATGCTTTAAAAACTTTGGTTTAATTAGCCAAAAAGTAGATAAAAAACAAAAACAACACAACCTTATTTTACCATAGGATGTGACACATCCACAACAATTAGATGTTAATAAGGTTCATGTGGAACCAATTGCACCAACCGTTGTGAATTTCTCATGTCAGATGATAAACTAAATATGGTATAAAAAGATAGGAAGCCTAGAATTGTTATAAAGTATTCCAAGTCTATGAAAAACTAATAGAAATAACATGCTGGATCCTCAAACCTGGATCCTTTAGTTAGGAGAATAAACAATTTCAAACACTTGACTTTGCTAGCTTGGGAAGGTGCATATGCACTTGACCTTTTAGCTGTTAGAACTTCAACACCAGCTCAGAGAGAGACACAGAGAGAGAGAGAGAGCTTGATCATTTCAGCCACATGCATCCTTTGGTCCTAATGGACTCAGACGATGACAATGAGGAAGTTGACTGCTTCGGCTGTCAACGACCAATATTGTCTGCAGGTCCTGCCTATAGTT